GATGGAGACGTTGGGGGAGTTTGCGAGGGATGGAACGACGTCTCCTGTCGCGGCGTAAAGGGCTTTACTGGTGGTGGTGGAAATTACCTTGTCGTATGCTGTCGGGGACGTCGAGTTTGGTGAGGAGAGCTAGGATGTGAGTAGCATGTTAGTTTGTGTTGTTGGTTAAAAGGGGGTTTCAAAAAACAAAAAAAAGATATGTTCAACTCACCATGACCTTTTTGCCCTTGCGATCGTACTCCAGACCAGTGACGGGTTCGCCCATCTTAAAGGTAACATTCTTCCTCCTCTTCAAGTGTTCCGCAATGGTATCCGGCAGACTGCTCATGCCCTTCTCAAAGAAGACGAGCTGGTCCTTTTGCGCCGTCTTCAAGTAGCTCCGGAGCCCCTCGTCTGCGCCCAACGTCGTCAACACCCCAACCTCGCTCCGCGGGAACGACAGCCAGTCGTCCTCCGGGAACGGCTTATCGAAGAAGCGGTGCCAAGGCCCGGGCATGAAGCTGCGCATGCTCAGCTTGTCGGCGTCGCCGCCCCAAATGCCGTGGATCATGGCCGACGCCAGGTTATCCACTAGCTCGGGGCGGCCGGTGTAGGTGGCTATGAAGTCGGCGACGGACATGTCGATCGGCTTAACCTCCTCGCGGGCCTTTTGGCGGCGCCACATGAGGTTCAGGAAGCCCGGGATGATGCCCTTGAAGGCGGCTTCGCGGAAGACGTTGCGCGGGTGCATCTCCACGAGGTGGTCCGGGTAGTAGACGTACCGGGGCGGGGACTTGATGCCTAGGTATTCGCCTTGCATTTGAAGGTCTCTAATCTGTTTTAGGGCTTATGTTAGCAATTGAAGGGTATAACAGGTTTTCTCAAGGAGAAACTACTAACCAGGTCAAAGAGCACGAGGTCGTCAAACTTCCATGTATCCTTGCCCATACCACGCAGCGTCCTCGGCCCCCGCTCGAAGCGCACATTGCTCTTCTTGCCATTGACCTCAACCTCGAGCTCCTGTGTATTGATCCAACCGCCCAGCCGATCCCCTGCCTCGTATATGGTGATGTTGGATGTCTCGGGGAGCAGTCTTGCCAGGTAGTGCGCAGTCGTCAGGCCCGCGATGCCGCCACCGACGACGGCAACATCAGTCGGTACCTGAATGTTCTTTGAAAAGATCGGCTCCGCCTCTTTCTTGGATTGTCGCTGTTCTCCTCTCGCGACTACGGTGGACGTCGAGAAGGATCGACGCGCCGGCACGACGGCGGCGGTGGCGCTTCTGCCGCAGGCGCCGAGGGCTGCGCTGCAGAAGCGCTGGGAGTGGTAGGACCTCAGTAGAGCCATGAAAGCATTGTCGGCTCTTCTGAGCACCATTTGGTAAGGTTCAATGGTTTGGAAAAGAGAGAGGGAGCGAGGGAGAGAGGAAGAGGATGAGAGAAAGTGATAATCCGAGCTTGATCGTTGGAAGAGATGTTGGTGCTGCAAAGTGGCGTCACGACATGGACTGGGGTCTCGCAGCAAACAATCCCGTACCTGGAGCTAGGGGTCCTTGGAGCTTCCGGCCCCACCATCTCGAACCAACATTATTTGCCAACGTGGGCAGCTTTTACGTCTGGAGTCCAGTAATATTTCTAGGATGATCACATTTAAAACTCATGCAGACTGGATGCTGTTTGGGAATGAAAACCTTTGTACGTTGTGGCTACAGGTTAGTATCCCAAACATTCGGAGTCTAGTTGGCTTCTCGAACAGCAAGATGATGATTGACACACACACGACATCAAGGAACAAAGAACAGAGATATGAAGTGAGGCTAGAAAAGAGGACAGCATGTTCTGCCTCTAACACTATCAGGGACCTCAATTTATGAGGTCCTCCGATTCGCTTTATTTCAGCTTGCCCGAAGCCCAGTCTATACTTGAATTTGAGAATAATTGCACCTGCAAAACGCCCAGAGTGCCATGTCGCTTTCGGCATACATCATCGTCCAATTATCATACAAGAAGTCGCCGCTCCCATTCCACCATCGAGGCCTCTTCTTGGAAGCCTCCTAACGATCCCAAACTGAAATAGTTCACAGTGATCCTCCTAGGGTATACCAGGTCTGATGCGAGACGCCCATCTGAGCCAGCTGCTCCTCCAATCCACCGCCCGCCTTCTAGTCAGCCTCATTGCCAGAGACAACGCTTCTTGCATTGCGGAAACTCCTTACTAGGAGTCCACGTTCCTGAGGGTTCACGTCCGTATGAGCCCCTAGCTGATCACCTCCTGCGCATTGCTCTGCTCTTGACCAACAGCGTTCTCTGAGTCGGGGAGAATCACTTCTGCTTGTGCATTTGAGTCGACAAACTGACGTTCACTGACGTGGTCGTCGACACCCTCGGCGGTCCAGACCTTGTCTTTGAAGACACCCTGCTGGCCTTCCTCGTGGGTATACATGCAGTGAGGGTTTTTGCAAGGGTTGAATCTACACTTGACCTTAACATGTGTAAATTTGCAACCCGTAGTCGTACACCCAGCACCGTTGCGGCACAGCGGCATCTCGGGATGCTTGAACGGGCATCTCGGATTCGTGCAGTTGGGGAAGAATTTGCAGTCTTGCTCGCTCTGATGCGCCAGTCTGGCTGCTGGGGATGGGTGCCGTCCGACACACTTGCGGTTTTTGCATGCGGCACCAAAGGTGCATACATCGTTAAGGTCGACTGTGGTGCCTGGCGGTGCCGCGGGTGACTGATGCGCAAACTTGCACTCGCCGTTGGTGCAGCGGAGGTTGTACTTGCAGACATTCTCGTCGGGATTGGGCGCTTCGCGCTTCGACTGTGACATGTCGACGTCGTCTCCTTCTCCACCTTCCGTCATTGCTGAGTCTTGCTTGTCTCGAGACTGATGTTGTCGGAAACCGCCGCGAGAATTTTGAGTGCGATCGAACAAAGACTTGCCGCCGCGGCGTCCACCTCGCCCACCACCCTGGTTCATCAGCTGCTGCTGGAGTTGTGACATCATTTGCGCCTGTTGCTCCATCATCGCCATGAGGTCCATTTGTGACGGCTGTCCTTGTGGCGGGGGCATTCCCCAAGCCTGGGCCATAGGGTTCATTCCCGGGGGGCCGCCATGTTGACCGTTCATCCCTGCCATCGCGTTGAGACCAGCTTGGATGTTCACTCCGCGGTTGTTCATGGGCCGTCCGCCGCGACCCATTCCGCCTCTGGGACCTGTGGGTGGGCCTCGGCCGTGGGAGTTGATTCTGTCGTTTCCGCGGACGCGGTGGAGAACTGAATCGCCTGACCGATCCATAGCCTTGGTCATGTGGCCCAGCATCCGCTTGTCGCGACCGCCTCGGGGGTTGGGACCATTTCGCATGGATCGCGGGCCAGTCGGGCTACGGTGGGTTAGAAAGGTACGGGCTGCTAGGGGTGGGTTAGGGAGACAAACGCGTTCAGTTCATTGCCATCGCCAGCACCCATATCGGTGTCAAAGTCTCCATTTCCTTGAGACATGCCTGCCATGGCATCATTGCCAGACGCTTGAGTGCCGTTGAGTTGTGCGTCGGTCTGCTCGACCTGTTCAAAGAGCCATGCGGCGAATTGCTGGGCGCCCGCATCTTCGGGACCCAGACCAAGGAGATCAGCCGAGAGTTCAGTGGCAATCTGGTCCTGCGTCCGGCCGTTGACGAGCATAAGAATGATGTATTCGACAAGGGCGGCATCGTCGTCGGAGCCTGATGCCCAGCCGGCCTCGATCAACTTGGGCTGGATGGCGGCGCTCAAGGCATCCGCCAGCGGGGTGTTGAGGACGACCTGAACCGTCATATTGATTGGCGCCGGTGTGGCGGATATCGCGTGAAGCTTCGAGTAAGAATGCGACGAGTCGATGTTCGGTGGGTTTTGAAGTCGAGCTGCAAGACGAGACGCGTTGCTTTCGGGAAGAAAAGTCGGCGTCAAATACGGCACCGGAGACTTTGGTTGACGTGTTAAGGAAGAATGCGCGCAGTAGTGGGAATCGCTTGCGCCGGGGTATATAGGGAGCAGGCGATGATTCCGGGCAGGAGGGTGTTGCTGATCCACACAAGAGCAACAAAAGAATGTTGTGTATGGTAGAGGAAGTGAATCGAGGTAAGTAAGGTGAGGCAAGAGAGCCAAAGAACGTTCTTGAGATGACGGAGAATTCAGAGCTGGGCCCACAACAAAGCCTTTGATTGGAAGCAAAGGTGTATCATCACGTGATACATGGCGTCGCAGTGGTAAGGTGGGAAGCCAACGTCCGGAAGTTCTTTACTGCAGAAGGTTCAGGCGAATTCCAAGTGTGGCTTGACTAATCCAGGCACATTATTCAGCGCAACGGCCGCACAGCCATATGCTCTCCAGCCTCTTTTCCCCAGAAACCACCGGGCCCGTGTGGATCCACTCCATGAATATACACAGCACAGGTACTCCGTACACCATGATGTCCTCTCCGTCTCTGGGTTATTCCAATCTCGCCCACCCGCGATACCTCTATAATGATCAAAAATGCTTCATTCTGTCACCAAGGCCTGTTTCGTAGCGGGGAATGTCAGCGCATTTGCTTGAATAACCCCGCACACATAGGTCCCGGGTTCGAGTCCCGTATATCTTCTTGTAAAAATCCCTGCATCGTTACACCTGAGGCTGGTAAGAGTCTCCTCGGATCTTTCGTAGGCTCCCTATTCTAGGGGCCGAGCTTTTTGCATCTACGGATACCTTAGACTGCCGCATCTTTCACCGCCATACCTTACTTTCAGGCGGGATTTAATACCACTAAAGAGACTGGTTACTGGCAGGCGGCAGTCTGTCTCAAAGCCCCCACGCTATTTTGGTGGCAGTTGAAACAGGTGGTGATGACAAAGGAAATGGCTCTCTCTTGGCCTGCCTACTCGTGAGAATCGAGATGAGACTGCGGCGACCAGCCTCTGTGACTGAGCGAGGATACTGCCCACAGAGTCGACAGCTCGTAGATATTTACAGATCTCTCACTGTCGAGTACCTAAATGCAGTACGGGTCCTCCGTATGAGGCCCTTGTATTTTCTTGCGGCATGCGTCGGATCCTATGAAAGATAAGAATCTTACGTAATGTTGCAGATCCACCATTGGTGTGTGCAAGCTACCCTCCACTCTTGGCTTTCTGTCTTGGCTGCCAACGTGCGTCTGGTGATTGTTTCTCAATCTCCCATCTCTCGCTTTCGCGGGCTGCAACACGCGTATCCGTGGTATGTTCTAACAAGTATCAAGAGCATCAAAATCCTTCTCTCCCTCTCTCACTGCTGCCAACTGAGCGAGACCGAAGGCATTACGAGATCATACTTTAACTACGTTTCTTGTTTCCTTGTTGATGGAGACAAGCCGCCCTTGATCGGAGGTTTCTGTCTGCTTGATTGGTCGGTAAGTAAAGTTGTTTGGCCGTAGGTGCCGTTCCCCGCCCCCTGCCGCCATGACGGTTGGCTGCCCTGGCCTGGCTTAGGTCCTTGGCCTTTGGGGGACTTCTGCCGCGCCTCCTCTTGACCTCCTCCTTCCCCCTCCTGTCATCCTTGCATTCGTTGCTCATGACAGGCGGCGTTGATGATCCTAATGCCCGCTCTTACCTTCAAGAGCCTCTACATTGAGACTACTTTTGGCCATTGACCAGATGATGCCAGTAGTCAATCTTTCATATCAAATTCAAGACCTGATAGGCATTTGTCAACTGTATCCCTATTGAGCTTGGTTCAGTCAATCATCTTTGTCGCTTTCCATGCGCTTCTAATTGCGTTTGACTTCCTAAGAGACACTAGTCTTGTGAGAGCACAAACCAACAGATCGACTATCCCAGCGCCAACGCCTTTGTAAACCATCATCGTGTTCTCTCGGTTCTTCTCCGCGCCTCCCGACTCATTCAGCTCCTTCAATCCCCGGCGTTGGATTGGCGTCAAAGCACAGCCGCTGCCTCTTCTCATCCGCCCTGCGCCCCGACTCCGGTGAAGGCATCCCCCTTGTTCATCGCCACCAACAAACGAATCACAGCCTACTATTTTCCCTAGATTATCAGGAACCGAATACTGGGAGGATCAACATATTGGATCGTACCATTGCCCCAGTCCAGCCTGGCACGTCGCATCCAACGTACCTTATAAGACCAGTTCGTCGGTCTGCCTGATTTCGAGAAGCTTTCATTTTGGTCGTTCCTTTTTCTCAACCCCATGAGATCGACCAGGCCTGAGGATCTCTCCCTCCACCATCAGCCAGCCCCTCCGTCGTCAGCAGTAGCGTGGGTCGTCAAGCGGACAGTGAGCTTGGCTCAGTGAACCTCAAAGCTTGACGTAACGTAACGTTGCTCCGTCCACCACACTGCCAATTGGTCGGTTGGTTCCCAGCCACCACCCAGACTTGGCTGCGCGGTATCCGTGAAGAAAAAAGGCAACAGAGTCTAAGGGCAACTGCTTCTGCGCTCTCGTATGTCTTTCTTCTGCAGCTGAAAGTGGCACGGGACGAATCTTTGGTTTGTTTGGGGGCTGAGAGTACATGACACTCTGCCTTATCTGGGAAGATTGTGGTTTGCAAGAACAGCGCAAAATACACCACAAAGACCACGGCGCATCATCACAGTTTGTTCATATAACCAGCCTCGACCCTCCTCGCTGATTTGAACGAGCCACCACTTGTTTTCCTAGTCCTTTTCATTTCCGACGCTCAACTTCGTCAAGATGTTACCCTCTCTCTTACTCGTATCCCTCTCCCTCGCCGTGGGCCAGGTCAGTGCCGGCATCTGGCCGGCCCCGAAGAAGCTGTCTACTGGCAAGAGTGTTCTGTTCATTAGCCAAACACTGGAAATCACATATAATGGAGGATCTGTACGCTGGTGCCCTTCTTCTGCTTCCACTTCCACTTCCCATGATGAGACACAGAATACTGAGAATTTCTTTAACGTGCAGCTACCCTACACCTATGGGTACAACCCGGCTTCGGGCTCGACCTTCAACAGCAAAGACATTGTGCAAGGCGGTGTGTCGCGCGCCATGGCTGCCATCTTTCAGCAAAACTTCGTGCCCTGGAAATTTCACCCCAAGAACAGCGACTTCGAACCAGATGTGTACGCGGCGGACAAGAAGGCAGTCAAGTCGCTGCAGATCACACAGACTGGGGAGGATAAGCCCAGCACGTTCAAGCCTGTCGCCGGTGAGGTCGATGAATCGTATGCGCTCAACATCACGGAGGATGGCTCAGCTACGCTTGTGGCCAAGTCCTCCACCGGTGTCTTGAGAGGTCTTGAGACGTTTGTGCAGCTCTTTTACCAGCACACATCCGGCACTTCCTGGTATACCACGCTGGCGCCCGTCTCAATTGAGGATTCACCAGAGTACTCTCACCGCGGAATCATGATTGACACGGCGCGCAACTTCTTCCCCGTTGAGGATGTTCTGAGCGTCATTGACGCCATGTCTTGGAATAAGCTCAACCGGCTCCACATCCACATTACGGACTCACAGTCATGGCCGCTTGACATTCCAGCAATGCCCGACCTAGCCGCCAAAGGCGCTTACCGCAAGGGGCTATCGTACTCGCCCGAGGACTTGGCCAAGATCCAGGAATACGCAGTTCACCGCGGAATCGAGCCGGTTATTGAAATCGACATGCCGGGACACATTGGTTCCGTTTCTTTCGCCTACCCGGAGCTGATCGTGGCTTACAACGAGAAGCCTTACACCTGGTGGTGTGTGGAGCCGCCGTGTGGTGCTTTCAAGATGAACGATACCAGGGTCGACGACTTTCTGGACAAGCTCTTTGACGATCTTCTGCCGAGGGTCGGTCCTTACACGGCATACTTCCACACGGGCGGCGACGAGCTGAACAAGAACGACTCGATGCTCGACGAGGGTATCCGGTCCAACTCGAGCGAGGTCCTGCAGCCACTCCTGCAAAAGTTCATGGACAAGAACCACGCCAGGATCCGCAAGCACGGGCTCATCCCGTTGGTTTGGGAAGAGATGCCGCTCGAGTGGAACATTACGCTCGGCGACGACGTCGTGGTTCAGTCGTGGCTGGGAGGCGATTCCGTGAAGAAACTAACTAGCAATGGCCACAAGGTCATTGACAGCAACTACAACTACTGGGTACGTGTTGCCAACATGCTGTTTAGATGTCCGCTTTGCTAACGTATACCAGTACTCCGACTGCGGCAGAGGCCACTGGATGAACTTTGACAACGGCGCCGCCTTCGAAGCCTTCTTCCCCTTCAACGACTGGTGCTCCCCGGCAAAGGGGTGGCGCCTCATGTACTCGCACGACCCGCGGGCCAACCTGACCGAGGCGGAAGCCAAGCTCGTCCTCGGCGGCGAGGTGGCGGCGTGGAGCGAGTCCATCGACCCCGTAAGCATCGACGGGATTCTGTGGCCGCGGGCCAGCGCTGCCGGCGAGGTGTTGTGGTCGGGCCGGCGGGACGCCTCGGGCCAGAACCGGAGCCAGTACGACGCGGCCCCGCGGCTGGCTGAGTTCCGGGAGAGGATGGTTGCGAGGGGGGTGAGGTCGGAGCCGGTGCAGATGCCGTTTTGCACACAGGGGGATGCGGGTGAGTGTGGGTATCCCATGGTGTGAGGTTGGAGGACGAGCTCTATCGGGCTTTACCGTTTCTTCATGTGATGCGGTCTTCCGGGGAGGAGGAGGCAGCGAGATCCCTCTCCCCGGACAGTTGAATATACCTTTTCCTGTACATCTCTTAGGGTCGCGGCTTAGCTCATTAATCAATCATTTTACAACGAATGATGAATTTCCTAATCAGGATAACCGTCGTGAGAATCCCAAGTTAGCAACAGTTGACAAGATCCAGCGAAACAGCAGTACCTAAGCCCGCGAGGCGGGTGACACGTTCGGTGTCCTTCAACCGGCCTGTTGGGCCAAAAGTTCGTCCGGATGTCCTTTCGGGCGGGGAGAGGGGGGGAAACGCGCTTGACGGGTTATAAACATGCCGGATTCTTGTTTGTGCTAGTTCCCGCTGCACTCCACATGAACGGCTCGTTTGTGGTAGGAAAGCGGGGGATCTACATCTCTAAAACCTCGGTGAATTGGCATGACATGCTTCCAGAAGGAGACGGATCCTAGGGGATTGCGTCTATCTGCTTGTGATTATCAAGCCTTTTTTTTTTTTTTTTTTTAATGTCATTACAGTCTAAGTCTAGATGGTTTCCGTGTGCCTGGCCGTATTCCAATCGTTTTCAGAGGTTGAATACTCCGTTCTTTATGTTTTATATCCATGCGTTACTTCCGTCCTGAACATTCTACCATGTTTCTAGTATATACACACCCTCTTTGGAGGTTGAGGATATTTTTCTCGGTCAGCAACTCAAAAGTTGGAGATTCTCCCGCTGTCCCGCTCGCTTCCAATGTCACAAGGACGAATACCTACTGTCCGACGTCACCTCCGCTTCAGCAGTGAGAGGAGCTGAAATCGCGCTAGGCATGAACCTGGCAGGATCCAATTGGACTTTTTTCTGGGAGAGGTGCAGGGATGAGGGCTGCAAGTTGCGGGGGGGGGGGGGGGGAGCTTGGGCGACAGCAGAAATTCCCTTTCTGGGTATTCAGCTCGTGATCGGTGGGTCTTTGCACTGTGCCCGTCTGAGTCTCTAATGTTGAATGACGAAGGTAGGTTGAAGTGAGGATCTCAACATGAGGTACAAGGAAAAAAATTGTAGAGTCTCGGGGGGGTGTCGTCGCTACCATTTGCTGAGTTGTAAATGGCATATGAAAGATTAGAATACCTACCTAGGTAGGCTACCGCATTTCTCTTGTTCTCGTCGAGAATGAGACTGTTACAATACTTCATGACAAAGACGATTTAAACATTTGTGTGGACTAATCATGCGAGTCTAGCGCATCGCACTGCACGTACGTACCGGTTAGGCCATCCAATTGCTTCCCCCATGACCTCTAAAACAAAAGATACAAAATAATCTCACCAAAGAACCTGACGAAAAGAGAGTATTCATGTCCTCGGCATCAGGTAGGCATGTTCCCAGCAACTGCGCCGCAACCCTCTCACCATTCTCACAACTCTCAAGCATACAGCACTTTACCATTGGCTACGCTTTGTATCTCTTTCCCTTAAAGAGGGAAGATCTTTGGGATGCTCTGTAAGGTAGCGAACGCAGCAGCGTGTGTGCGCGCACACGCTGCTGCCACCGCTGCTGCCACCGCTGCTACGCCGTACATGTGCTTTTTAACAGGGTGGGTTTGGCTTCTCCCCAGCAGCGGATCCCCCGCGGCTCTCGAAACCAAACTTCATCATCGACCGCCTTTTCGGCTCTGCTGTGCCACGACATGGTGAAGGGAGTACCATTCGAACCTTCTCCAGGCATATCGGCTCCGGGTAGTCGTTCCCTCTCTCTCTTTTCATCCACTCTCCTCGTGGCGGGTACAGCAGAGGGTTTTTGGTATCGGTTCAGCTAGCTTCCGTTGCACGACAGAAACTCGGTAGGCCACCGGATGTTGCCCATCCTTT